CCACAGGAGCAGTTGAATTTATATACACACATTGATGTCGCCATTTTGATTAATCTATCTTTAATGCACAGTGTCAATATCGGTTTGGTTGAGAAAGTGACATGCAGAAGAAGTTATCGACAGCATATATCAAGGCAGAACTTAAGATAATCCGAATAACATACTCCGAAACCTCTTCTTATTTACTAGTGATATTACCTATCACATCCCGAATAAAATATTACACCATCACTATTGAGACTTTTTAAAGCTCATGGTTGTATGTCCCACTCGAAGGGCATTGGTGGCCATCCTAAAAGAGAAAATCAAAATGTAGGTGATGGCAAGATTTGTAGGATTGGTCTACTAAATGCTCCTTCTCAGCTTCAAAGGTTGCACATTGGTATTCGTACTTACCGAAAACATGTACTGTATTATTGAGTAGTAGGTGTGAGTAGCAGAGGACACAATTTCCAAGTGTATGTCTGAACACTATCCTGCATAGTTATCAAGAAGTCAATGCAGGGCAACTCCTAGCTCATTTTTCAAGCATCTGCTGAACTCAGGTCACACAGTCTTGCTTTAGAATTATCTTTAAAGTAAAGCGTATATGATGGTAAAAGGGATATTCGGTGTCAATTCATGTGTATAGTGAAGGTGCTAGTGATTCGCAAATATAACTGGGAGCTGTGTGTACAGGGGAGATCTCTTCAATCTCTTATTCTACCATGGTCCTTGTCTCTTTCCTAGTCATTCGCTTCTAATTTCAGTGAGCATTTCACACTACTACCACTGTTATATGTTCTCCTTTCACTAAATATTTTTTTGCGTTGTTCACACTTGTCAAATGGATAAAAATCTCCACGTGATGAAATTTCAAACCCTTAGTTCCATTAAATTGTTGTCTATTTGGTCTTGTGAAATCACTTTTGAGTCACGGCGTCCCTATTACTCAATAATAAACTACATTAGGTTCTTTTTCACAAATATAAGTATCAACAGGGTCATCGTAAAGGCTAAACAGTCGTAAAGGGAATTTTCTTTTCGGTAAGTTGAATTGTCAGTAGTTCAATGGAATACTCGTCAACCACACAATATGGTCGGGGTTCAATTCCTCGTTGATGTACGCCTAAACCACGTGTAGTTTACTAGATAGGAGTAAGACCGGAGGAGTAGGGAGATTGCGTGCGAGGGGCTAACAAGCGACAGAACGCCACTGAGACTTAAAACGTTGAAGTCACATACTCCACTCGAAATGAGTTGAGTAGAAAGCAATTATCTGATGAAGCTCTAATTATCCTCATAATTTTATCTTTTCCTAGGCTTGAGTTTTTATTCACACAGTCCATAAGAGCTAAGATCTCCTATTCTCCGAGGTATTAGAAATGTCTCAGCTAGACTGACGAAGTCAGGAGGTCTAAGGCTGAAAGTCGTATCGTGTAGAGGAACAGAACTATCACTCCGTATTTGTGTGGTTCTATTTCTCTCACGGAATTAAATAGAATGGAATATTTCAAGTGGTAAAGGTGAATTCAGGCAATTCATATCGATTACAAAGATTATTAACAAAGAAATTCGTTCAAGTGGATACCGATAGAGAGAGAGAGAGTGGAAGTGGATTTTCAAGTGAATACGTCAACCGGTCAAATATATAGCTTGTATATATGCATCTTGAAGGCACTAGACATTAAATATGATGTGGGTATATGAGGACGATGCCCGGGGAGGCTTCGTGTGCTCTTGGAGTGTGTAGGCGGTTGTTACTTCCCGGCTGCCCACACCGTGGAAGTTAGTTTATCCACGTAGGAAGGGGTAGACTTCCTGGTTGGGGTCCTGGGGATGGTGAGAACCAATGGCTGGAGACAATTGATGATATGGCTCAAAATGGTTATCAATGGCTAGCTCAGATGCATCCACTCCTTGTTACTTATAATTTTCAATGAAACTATATTGTTCTTCGTTATTACTATTCCTTCTGTCTCAGATCCCCGTCTACTGTCTCTATTATGCATTTCTTCTGTTGCTTTGTGTGCTACATGGAGTGTGGCAACTTGAACTGCTGCACATCGGTGCAAAGTTCTATGTTGAAAACAGATAGACATTAAATATAGATTTTTCATTCCTTTCACCTACTGAGTGGAACATGGAGCTTCAAACTTTGCGTTTTGAGATTTCAGTGGTGGTGGTGTTCTTACGAGGTGGGGCTACTTTCCTCCCAACCCCTTCACGTTATTTGGACAGAATGAAGGTGTTGTGGAGTGTGCCAATGGTCGTCTAACAGAAGCATTTAACAGTCTTTGAAGCAATGTTCAGTGACATTGTGGGCGGTAGACAAACGGAGACGTTATCTACTCGGTAAACTGTTCGACATCGTAACTGATAGTAAGCTGCATTATTGCCTAAGGACAGCTAGAAATCCGCGTGGGAAATTGTCCCTGTGGGTGTTTTACCTGCAGGAGCATGACATCACGTTCCGGCGAAAGAAACTTTGCTGCCAGATACTTTAGCTAAACCACAAGATGCAGCTGAGTTACTACAAAGTGCATAAGAAGTACATGGATTGCAACCGGACGCACTAAGACTTACCCCAAGTCAAAAATCGGATTCTACTGCGAATACATTGATACAAATGATGACTAACGGAATGGAAGTAAATCGACCGACGGCGAAAGGAATGCTGACCAATCTACATTCAGTCAGAAGTGCCAATTACGATTTAACACCTAGGCAACCTTGACTTGGGGAGAGAATGGTGAAAGCTTGTTGGTGGTTATGTCTCAGTCCCTATGCCATCAGATGATACAAGAATGCCCCCGGCTAGCACATACAGGGGTAGCCAGCTCAACCGATCTCTTGAGACAAAGCATGTACTGAGCAGGTGTGAGAGATGTCAAGAAATATATGCTGGGGTGTCCGTCGGGTGAGTTGATGAAAGGTGATCGGTTCATACGACTATCTGTGCAGTCGATTCCATTTAATGTAGTAGGTGACTTTTGGTTAGTAAAATTAATGGGAATTTTACCATGAACATCCGGTCGTAATCACTATCTGCTGGTGATGATGGAACACGCTACACGATGAGTAGATGGTGTCAAGATGCTGGATGAACGCGCAAAAACTATGACCCATTCAGTGGTTTGACATGTCGTTGCAGGCCATGGTGTTCCAGAGACGATACTGACATACCAGGGTCCTTATTTTGATAGTGCAGAATTTACTACCTGTCTGCAGCTGCTAGTTATCAAGAAGATTACATTACCATCCACAAACGAATGGTTTGACATTGAGAAATAACCGTAATTGAAGCAGTGTCTGACGTTGATTGGAGGTAACGGGGAGACAGAGCCTTCATTGACCCGACTGACACATCATGCTTCCCCCGGGAGGCAACAAAGTAATTACTGCTTCAGCTGACGTACCATAAGAAACCCCAACTACCAGCACACAAGAAAACATGGCGGCATTACCAACAATGAAGTGTGGAGAGATGGAAAACAAAATAGGAAGAGGTATTAAGAAATGTGAAACAGAAATAGAAGATTGACTCTGACGCGAATTTCGAGCAGACAAAACAAGAAATCCATAACGTCTGAAATCTGAAACCAAGTAATGTGTAGAGAAGGAAAGTACACTATTGGATTTAGGTGAGGTTGACGAAATCTCCTTCCAAATTAGGAAGATTCGGCTCCTCACGAGACTTCTTGACTAGAGCAAATGAAAGGTGTAACGAGTCCTATTGTCAAGACTTTTTCATTAGTAGGTGTGGTGTGTGTGTGTGATGCCTTGCGTAAAAGGATTGAATATCGGAATGATGGATCAAGTTGGTAAATTTCGCCTTATCACTAACTTTGTGAATTATAAGGAGTGTGGCAACTTGAAGTGCTGCAATTTTGTACTAAGTTCTACATTGGAAACTCAATCAGTTATCAATGATGGAAGGAACATTTCAAAACACAAGTTCACAGAGAGTCTTTCAAGTTTCAACTGATGCACAAAACTACCCCAATTTATGTAATCGATGAAATGTTCAGTGGAAAACTGACTTTCCACAAATTGAATTCTCCTCATTTATATATCAAACATGAATTTTATCATTAAAGGAAGGTAATCACACTGTAAATGAAATGTGGCTAGTGACACCTCCACCTGATGGCTGCCCAAACCTTGGTAATAGGGATGAGGTTCGCGCCCGTGGCTTGGTGGCTGAAAGTCGAGTGCCTATGTGAACGAGCCATACTAAGGATCGTTTGGAAATTTCATCAATACATGGATAATCCCCATCCAGGGATTAATGAAAACAAAATATGTAGTTCAGCGAAGAGTCTCTTCTCGGCGAATTCATTTTCTTAGCTGTACAATCGCAAATATATGTGTTATTTTGTATGTATGTGTACATTAAGTTTGTTAAACAAAAATACAATTGGTTATAGTTATTTAAACTAAACAGGTGAAGATTGGTAATTGGAGTTACGTGATACAAAATCAGTCAAGAAAATTAGGTGTTAATGAAATTAGGGTAGTAACAAAGGTGAACTGCTGTCACAAACAGTTGTTAAAAGAAGTTATGTAATAATATGAATAGTTTGATGAGTGAGTTTTACTTAGGATGCACATAGGAACAAAGTAGATAATACGAAATTACGTAAGAGATCTAAGTGAAAACAAAAATTATAAGCAATTAAACAACAGGCAAAGAAACAAAATTAAGCTATCAAAATCAAAAAAGTTGTTACCATGACAGCAGAAGTGGTTGAGTAATCCTCTTTTGTACGCACAGCTCCGATTTTTCTATGTGAATGGCCAGAGCTTCAGCAATACAAAGAAGACGATTTTGTCTTGAAGAACACACACTTTTAAAAATATCACCCATAGACTACTGATCACTTTCCCTAATGAAATGCATCATGAGAAAGAACATTGATTGGAAGACAGACAGAGGTCAAAAATCAAAGAGATGAAATATACAACAAGAAAGTACAAGTAATAATGAAATCACATGATTCACATTCAGTCAGCTTCAGTTAAAGACTTTCACCATGAATAAACTTTTCGATTAGATGGAAAGCTGCTGCAGGTTTATCTCTAGGCACCATATGTCCTGCTCCACGAACTGTCGCAAACATTAGAATTGAACTATGATCTCCAAACATTGTCCAAAATCCTCCAACCTGTTTTGTGCCATCACTCTCCGTGTATAACCAAGGTCGACGTGATAAAGTAGGCTATAATTTGAAGTAAAAGAGGGAGGATTTACGAAAATATTCCATCAGTCAAAATGGATAACAATCTGTTAGTAGAATGATGCTCCCTAATCACGTAGGTGGTCCGGGATTGATGCCCAGCCAATGTACTCCTGAACTTCGCCTGATCGACAGTAAGCCCTGTAAAAACAGAAGTTTGGGCTCATGAGACCACAAGCAACCGCACCTTGCAAGAAAACAAACAACACCACCTCAGAGGAAACTGTAAAGCTGAGGTTTGAATCCCTTAATCCCATCAGGAACACAAAGGAACGAGAAAAGATGGTAAACATAATAATAAAGTACTGATTGGTATACCGTGATTAAGAAACATGAGAATCATTCAAGTCGACTGAAATTAAACAATATTGACCAACGTCGGTAGTGGCCCAAATGACACTGGAGCGGATAATAATCAGAATAAGCCAAACCAATTTAGATTGACTATATGCAAAGAGATCACTAAAAATGACAGTCTTCAAACTGCTGTAAAGACAACTCCTAACTACTGTTCACCACAGTGTGTCGATATTCATCTAACTGAATCAACTTTTAGTGTCAGAGAAGTTGCAGGTCAGTGGTAGCACTAAGGGGTATTTGGCCCTTCTTCCACATTAAATCCACTCCTTGTTATTCTGAATAGAATTTCTTAACGAAGCTTAACTCACTTTCTCTGTGTTACAACTGTACTGCAACTGCTATTCAGAGGAACGATGTTTTGGCTGCTTCACAGTTATTCTTTGCCCTCATTCATCTTGTATTGTTTAGTATGTGGGTAATATCTATACGTGATTGAAGATAGTTAAGAAGATTGTTTAACTATCCAGGCAGTTACTGCTTTGAGCCCTGTTTGAAGTCAATTGAAGGTATGATGAATAGAGCCACACTTATTGTGGAAGAATTGATGACTCTACTACTACTACTCAGTTGTCTCAATACTCCCACTCATCAGGCTAATGTAAGGGGAGGAGAACTTACAAAAACCCTGAGATCCACTGACTGAAAACTGACTAAGTGAACCAATAATATATGATGTTTCATCACCCGGACATGAAAACATTCTCACCAATAACGTTCTAGAAATATACTGCATTGAGTAGAAAACACACACACCATCAAATACATTGAACTTCATAGAAAAACAACACAATGCATATACACACATTCAAAGCTACATATCTCCTTCATTATGACAGAATCTGATATCTTCTGCGTATGCATATCAGTGATCGATATACGGGAGGTTTTCCCTTCTCACTCCCATCACAAACTCTACTTTACTACTAGTTATTCCAGTCTTTGTAGGTTGTACCCACCAGTCCAACTATTTCTAGTAATTTTCAAGTGTTGGTTTGTAGGGATTTGATTGGTTACAGGATTTCATCATGAGCTGACATCAGTTAGAGAACCATTGGAAAACCTGGGAGTACTGGACAGCTGTTTCGTCCTAGTTTGGGACTCTTCATCAGTACGCACCCACCGGGATTCGAACCCAGGACCTTCTGGTTGCAAGGCGAGCTCGTATACCATTAAGCCACTGGGACCCGATCCAATGGTCCATGAATTCTAACTTCTGCCAATTCACGAAATAGCGCGAACCCTAGCCAATGTCTTCGGCGAGTATTTGTAGTAAGTTGTTCATTTCATCTCGACTAGAATTTCGATGAGTTACAAACTAACTTAACATCAGATTGAATTATGTGTACTTCTACTGAAAAGATTCTATAAGTAGTATATTGTGTGCATCATGTCTTCTGCAAGAATATTGTATAGCGAGGCGACAGATTAAGTCGCGGATGGGAAAGATAGAAGATTCCTGTGAAACAATGTATAAGAAAGCATGATATAAAAAGACAAAAACGTTTAGTACGAAGAACATGTGCAAATAGAGACGACAATGTAATGTCTCTGAATCTTGCAGTAACTGTACATTATGTTAGGGGATCATTTATTTGACAAGATAAACTACCGTGCTATGCTGTCACACTGCTACCGATAATGACTGCAGTAATAATCATAGTGATCGATAATGTAATTCTCTCACCTTTAATTTCAAATTATCTACGAACATTTCATCACCGAGATAATTACAAGCCAAGTCAATATCACCGTTGTATATCAATGCAGATATCTAGAAGACAATAAAAAGAAGGAGAGGTGCGGAATGAGACTGTGACTACACTCAAATACAGTTTGTATTAGCAAATATCGAAAGAAAATTAGTAAACAAGCCAAGAAATAGAGAGAGGAGAATGGGAGACAGGAAAGATTCAATTGTAAATAAACCATAAAGGTAGCAAACTGCCTAGTAAATACCTAGGAAGAGATAGAGGCGGATTGAACAAAAGTAGAGGAGACTTCTAAGTGACATCACAGGATACATCTTCAAGTGGAGCTTGAGTAGGAAACGACAGTCTGCAGACTTTTATCAACAGACTTTCTTCGCCCTGTCGATACTGAAGATCAGATGGTTGGTCGCCCAGGGAGAACAAGTGATACAGAAGTATGACAATGAGCCAGTCTAGAATCAATTGCTAAACAAATATGCATGAAATTGGATTAGATAAACGCAATGGAGACCACTGACTGACGTCACACATCCAGCAGGATTTCGAATGAAATCTCAATTCGCAGTGATGAGTTGGAAGATGGGTCCATGGGGCTGATATGAAGGTGATTACATGAAGAGGGAATGAAAGCTTGTGGTCATTCGTTAAGCCAACTATAAATGATGATAGAGAACCAAGTGCTATTAAATACCTTTGTTTTACTCGGAATTCAAATGACAGCAGAGAAGAAAGTGTCATGGAGATATCTCTCTAAGACCATGTATTCTACACGAATGTAGGGAGCGAATAGTATTATAATATTCACGAACAATGCTAGCTGACTTAGGATTAGGTTGGAAAAGAGTTACGGGGGTTGGCTTAACCAAAACCTAGTGTCAGTCTAGGCAGTCATAGGGAAATGAAGACTGATTGGCCGGTTGGGGTCTTCTAGATGTTAAGAATCAATGGCTGGGAAATGTTGCTGATAACTAACGAAATCGTAGATGCATTCACTCTTTGTGATCTACTAAATTCTCATGTTTTACCATGTTACTATTATTTTCCCCCTCACCCTCAAACTTTTTTCTTCATTGTAGATCTGTTGAAGCTCTTCTTTCTTTCTTTCCTTCTTCTGTCTTTGTGTGCTACATGGATTATGGCAACTTCAGCTGCCGTACTTCTGTGAAAAGTTCTATGTTGAGGCGCAGTCAGTATGATAATCAGAATACGTACAAAGTATTTCTTTTTAAAGTTAGGCGATAGGTGAATTATATACAATATCACTGTACAAGTGAAAGAAAACTAGGTTAGAGACGACGGTATCAGGCAATTCTACTTAGGACAAAAGATGGGACCAGAAACCTTTTAAGTCGCCTGGAATTACTTCATATATCACTTTCACTGAGTATTTCTATTGTCTCAGAATGCTTTGGAAGAACAAGGTGTTCATGGTGGACCAAGGTGACCCCTTGGTTAGCCTAATTTTTTGTCTCTTAATCAAAGATTGTCTTGTGCACATATATACACGGCCAATGTAATTACTTCCAAAAGAAGTCAGTGAGCTGATTGATATTTAATCCCCTCCACCACCATCTACGCCTACAGGCATTTTCTGTTTGCACTTCAGAAACATTAGTTTTAATCTTAGAACTTAAGGCTAAAAGATGACTACTCCTTACTGACCTACATCTTTATCTTATTTGAATTTCAAAAATATCTACAATTTAATTGGACGACAAGTAGTCCTACGCATTTGCCTTTGTAAAAATACAATACGGAAATGGTTGTATGGTAGCAAGAATAACCAACAGGATTGAAAGGCTGCATTCAATTATGATAATGTGGGTGTGAATACGCATAGGTAGTTCAGCGTTAGAATGCTTGTCAATCACACATGTGGTTCACATCTTATTCCTGGTCGACCAACTGCTAAAATTCACTAAGGTGGTAGTCAGCCTAGAAAAGAGGGGGAAGTTGGGCATCAGACTAGCGATCCCACCCTTATAAAAACAACATTACCGTCTCTGTTGAAAATTTAAAGCTCAGGCCCGAGGCTTTATGTTCCAATCGGAATGCTTAAGGAATGAAGAAAATGGATCTGAATAACAAATCAGAAGTGACATTGATTATTCAATACCAAATAACTAATCCACAGTTTTGAAGATACTGTTGACTGAATTCTACCAGTCAAAATTTTTAAGCTAGGTGGCTCAGTACCTCGGTGAACCTTCAGTTTGATGTTAAATGTGGGAGGGAAATCAGAAAGGAAGCCTTGAACTGAAAATTCTCAGTGGTAGCGTCTCTGACTGAAACACTGAGTCACACGAGTGCGAATTTCAGTTTGATTTAAGGTTTCCGATATATCTTGATGGCGGCAGGCTGACAACCACGAGACCTATGTCCAAGGCATCCCAATGACTAACTTCAACCTTCCAACAGCAAATCAGAAGTCAGTTAATTAGACACATGAATGTCAACTATCAGTTTACCAGGTATATACGTCACGAGTTGGTAAACACAGAGATAGATTAATTGAATTTAACAGTGACCTTCGTATTTTAAAGACAACATGAATTTTATCACGATTTCAAATAGTTTCCAGTAAGCAACTTCCAAGGCCGATCAACTCGCTGTCCTTGACATTTAACACGAATACAAAGCAATCATTATACACAATAGAAGATATTATTTGGTTGCTACTGGTCAGCAGTCAAATCTAAGATGCACACTTCATCCTGTTTCAGAATTCATCCTCTGAACCTGCCTACAATCAACCAGGAAATTACGCTGTTCCCACTCACATGTGAACCCACCAACCATCGTTTCAAACTCCAAAGCGTTATCCCTTAGGCCACCAGAAATATCAGGCTGACGAGTCACAAGTAGGAAGAAACGCGGGTCGTGTTGCATTCCACTGATAGCCTAAATCAACATCAACTAACATCATGTCCATCTCAAGACACTATCGTACCGTACATGCTAGGAGGTGGCATATCAACAGTGGACCAAGCATTTCAATTCAAGGGAAAACCTATCAACCGGAAATACAGTCAACAAAAAAGCTAACTGATTGACTTACATTGGATTGAAGTAGTTTCATATACTGTTCAGATAGGTCGTCATAAGTACGAATATAATTACGTCCTACTTCATAATTGCATACATCCCACTCCTTTGGTATATCTGGTTTTACATTGATAAGTCGACGGATAGCAGGTGAATTTAAATAACTATGCATTATTGTATCGTCTATACATGGCATTGCAGAACTGAAAACGAAATGAATTTATAACAAAGTCTGTTTGAACCAACCAAATGCACAATTGATTAAAAACAAATTATTTCAGAAGATAATTATTGTAGACTGAGACAACCACTTTCTAGAAGAACATTGCATGGTGCAGCATACTACTGATTATTTGACATAAGTAGTAGGATATCACTCATATGAAATAGTAGTGCTTACCTACTATCCACATAAAGTTGATCTCCACACCGGACAGGTAATTCTCTCAACTGGAGTCAAGTTCATCAGAGGGTGATCTGGTTTGGTTCAATTCGAACTGTTAATAGCCAGCTAGGATTCGGTTTGATTTAGGGGATTCAGCAGTCGAAACTGAGTTAGACCGGGTACACCACTGATGATGATGAGATCTGCCACAAACCAGTGGAACAGCTGTCTGGTGTTTAAATCACTTTGATCTGACTAGCTGGGAAGTACTACTGGTTCATGTAAGTGGTGTGAAACTACTTATATTAACCAGTCAACCAGTAGTATGTTGTTTCATGCAGTTATGATTGCTTTTTTGATTCTCATTTATGGTATCAATTAGATCACATATATTAGATGGTTGGAGGCAATCGGCCGCAGGAAGCATTGCTCGACCTAGGTTTCGTGCTAGTTGGCACTCATCAGCAAGGCGTATCTGGCGAGCTACCTAGAATGGTGGCCACATTACAAACCTGACTGATATAATTCAGTCTGCACCAAAAAAGAGGACTAGACACATCACTCTAGTTACTAGTGTCAAATTAGATAACATATTTTGTGACTGCAAACTACGAATTAATTTGTAAATTGTGGATTTGATCCACTATTAGGTAATTTATGAGCACTGAGCCGGGGAACAGGCTGTAGCCGCAACGAGGTCCTGCCTATCACGGAATTCTGATGTATTGTGTGTTCTTCTATGGGTTTTATGTGGAAAACCGGACTTTAGCAGCACATCTCCATCTAACTTTGTTCTCTGGAATCTCATTACTATTGCCCTGAAGCTCTCCTTTCCTCTTCAGATCATCCTGTCCATGTCATCCGCTGACATACAGACAACTAATCATATACTGTTCGGGTTCCACTCGACAACCTGGCGTTTATATCTCAAATATATTAATTCCTTATCAGTGTCAAACACATATATGTTTATCTACTGGCATTATCACTTGATCAGATCATTTATGTATGAAGGTTAATGACATTATGCCTAGTTGATCAGGCTGACGTAAGTGAGGACGGACTCGAACCCCTGACCTCCGTTCGCCAATGAATCACATATCTAAATCACTCGATTCTCGTTCTTTAAAATTTACTGCTTTCAAACTGTGGTCACTCAAAGTAATGGATACTGGCGAGAAAGTATACATTGTCAGTGCTGACTAGAAATAGATTGTGATCTGAATAAAGCTGCAGAATACAGACGGCACTGTCTCATCTGAGACCATGTAGTCAACAATGACCACCTAGATGACTATCCTTTAGGCCTAAACATCCAGCCGGTCCCCGATTTAGACGGTAGTCCAAATGATGGCAGAACTCATCCTTAATTGCATCTATCCTCCAATCCGTCAGCGTACACTATAAAATGACGTATAAGCATCGCATCTCAGGCCAGTTGCTTTTTACTCTGGTAAAGCCTTCTAGCCTCACAGCACATAAATGACTGTTGATTGGGATCTAGTCGAGTAATGCAGCTCCCGCCCTACCACTTAGTATCACACCAAAAACTACTAAGCTAGATGTCGACACCACAGGGTCAGCAGACAAGTGCAGGCGGTACACACCATTTGAACTAATGCTTCATATACAAAAAAATGAATAAAGGATTAGGATCCTAAAAACAGAACTGGCGAAATAGCCTGTGATTTAGCAAAGACATATTCTTGTTACGTAATCCTTTTAGCCGTAGATCCTATTGGGTCACAAACACAGTTGTAACAACGTTTTTAATAAGTTTGAAGATATTATTCCATCTCTTATTATGGCAGTATTTCAAATTGATGGAAAATTCATGATTGATTGTCAGTGCTCAAAGATACGCCATACAATTTCCCACCCTCACCAAAGATCCTATACACAAATAGATAACGTGTTGAGTTACAAGACAATGAGAATTGTTATCTAACGTCTATAAATGAGTAACATATATCCACTGTTACTGATGAGTTTATCTTTTCAGGGGTTGACGATTCCCTAATTCATGGTGCTTCGTGACATCGTGTGCACTAAAATTAATCAAGTCAGTACAAACTCAAAATAGACACTTTATATCTTTGATATTCTATGAACAATTACATGAACAGACTGTAAAGACCTCGACAATCGGCAGGGAAGTACAAAAACCGGTAAGTAGAGAGATGGCTTGTTGGAATTAAATAGTGAGCCTTCACAGGCAAATGAAACCGGGGACTTCGAGTCCCACCTCTCTTACTTCAACTCGCCCACTCCCACTCACCAATACAAAATAAATGTGACTCATACAGCCTAGTGTACATGAAAAATCTCCACCTGGTCACTTCGTGAAATATACATATAAATCAATCAACGGGCCACAGTCCCACATATCCATATGTGAGTATTTACAAAGTGTATAATATCAATAACATTGATACAATCCAAGTCAAATATTATCATTGTAGATTAGTTAGTTAACTACTGTGCATTATGAGACATTCTATCAGGGGTAGACGGAAAGGTTAGACTGTGATGAATTACAATGACCCTACACCATCTGATAGCAACCATCGTACAACCTTGACTTGTTAGTCTAATGGCTCGAAATGTAACAGAAAAAGTGGTGATAAAGTTGATACATATTAAGAGGGGACGCACATACACACACACACACACACGGTGAATCCAGTGTCATTTTTATCAACTGACAGCACTGATTTCGATTCACAATAGAATTAATCTAAACAGTAAAAAATATAAAAACAATTGTTTACCACAGTTTAAACAAATTATTTACTAATTTATTTATTTTATTATAGCTTGATTCTACACAGTATTTGGGTACAGGTATGGAATTTTCAGCAGGTGATATCGCTAGTCTTAATTAAGCGGACCGATCCTTGTGCGTCAGGTGTGCGTCGGCCAAGGATCGAACCACAGATTATGTGCACGGTCGGCGAGCGTCCTAACCGTTTTAAATGAAATTCTATCATATTGTCTATTCCTGATAGTTCCGACAGTATTGTCATACATGTGAATAAATCTCACCACTAGACATAAGAGATAAGAACAAGCATTTCCAATCACACCACTCAGTATTCCCCTGATTCTACTGAACAAAGTAAGAACCAATGAACATTTGAAGGCTGAACACCTCATTCTTATTATTTCGTAGATTTCTATCAGCCTGTAACCACCTAAAAACGACATCAGTTTTACAAAATATATTTCAGAAATTGTTCCAAATCAAGAGACAACGCCGTGGAACAAGATTTATGAATACAAGATATTTTTCAATAGTTGGTTTGTAAAGATTATATTTGTTTTTACGAGTTGATCACAGGTTGATATCAGTTAGAGAACCATTGAAAACCAGCTGGCGGGAGTACTGGACAGCTGTTTCATCCTGGTTTAGGAATCATTAGCAGTACGTACCCACTTGGGTTCGATTGATATCAGAGAAGTCGTGACCAGTGAGGTCCATCCAGATGTCACGTGTGAGGATGGATGTCCCACGGATGACATTGTTTGGTGGTTGCGCTAAATCACGAATCGGTAGAAGTTAGAATTCATGGGTCACTGAATCGGGCGCCGGTGACTAAATGACGTACGAGCTTGCCTTGTAACCGGAAGGTCCTGGGTTTGAACCCAAGTAGTGGGTGAGTACTGTCGATGATTCCCAAACTAGGATGAAACAGCTTGCTGTCCAGTACTCCCTGCTGTTTTTCAACAGTTTCCTAACTGATATTAATCAGTGATCAATTCGTGAATCGAAGATAGTTAATAATCTAACAACAGTTGCAGATACGCCTTGCTGACGAGTGCCAACTAGCGCGAAACCTAGGTCCAAGGCTTCCTGTGGCCGATTGCCTCCAACCATCTAATATCATCAAATCATTGTGCACCGTGATGGTGAGCTACGTTGAATGGTGGCCACATTGCAAAGCTGACTGATAGCATTCAGCCTGCACCAAAGAAAGGACTAGACAAGTCACACTAGTTACTAGTGTCCAATGACAGTCACAGTTTATTGATACAACATAACTGTTGAAATGAACCCACTTCTTAACTGTCTCGTGAATAAAGATGCAGAAGCATCAACAAGAATGGAGAGGAGGATTCAATGTTCACTTAGGGGAAAATTTCTAACTTTCTACTAACCACGAAAATGGTCCGAGCACCAACACACACACATACACACACAGAATCAGTATACAACCACACAATCACTTACCCTGCATAATGATGATATCTCGTATAAACATTATCACGAAACATACTACCAAAATTATGATGGAGATACGTTTTTGAAGACTGTAGAGTGGAGGATATTTCAGCAATCGATATTGACAGACTTTCTTGAAATAATGTATTTACACCACCAGCACATTCAGAATATAAATTGTATATGTTTATGCCTTTGAAGGCCTGTTCCATCAATTGACTGATCTATAATTAATAATAATAATAATAAAATAGAAATTGATAGTAATAGTAATGTATACAGAGTAACTATAATCCGAAATACTGTGACCCATTAGTCAGTTTTCAAAGTAGAGTCTTCCACAAAAGTGCCACACTTCATTCAATCACACATACATACACGTAGAGAATAAAAATAGAAACTACAATAAACGGGAATGTTCAACAGCAAGAGTAGTGAGGATTTAAGGAATCTGAGAGGTTACAAAGGGTAAGTGTATCAGCTTTGCTGGGATCAGTTTCATGCCATAATTTCACCAACACTCTCCAGTCATTCATTTTTAGACATCCGGCAACCCAGTCAGGTAACCTTTAACCCCACCAACTATGTACCTGACTCAAACCAACGCTTAAAGACATCGACAACTGGTGTCATATTTTGAAACACACCGCGATAAAAATGTCACGGTGGTTTCCTTCGCATCACTGAAACAGCAGTTAACAATCACACATACTCTACACGATGAATTAAAGCAGTTCTCATGCAACTAATTTCTACGTGTTCGTTTCCAGAGATTCAACTGATTTCAGTTAGCGAATAACTTGAAACTGAACGGCTATTGCTCCCCAGTTAAGCACTCATCAGCACTATGAACCCACAACTACATCCCATGAATCCATACCAGGACATAGAGATTGATGGATAAGCTCATGGGCCATTAATCAGTTGCTGGGAGAGAATCTTATGGCTCATGAATTCTAACTTCTCAAAATTCGTGATGTATTGCATAAACGCCAGTCAGTGTCACCAGTGAGTATTTTTCCTGACATCCAGCTTTGGACACCTCAATAGTAACGATGTCTCATCACTAGGAGGTCAGGCAACTCCAACCAACTTCTAGTCAGTCACTGGTGAGTATTACACTCCTTCTTCACTAATCAGTCTTTCAATACTTTTAATGGACATCTTTATTCAATTACAATTCACTAATAAGTGCCAACGATCTTATAAGGTAAGACAGTGAAATGGTATAAGCAATACTGATCATTAACACGAATGAACGTGATTTAAGATGTTCACCAAAGTGGTTGTCCTTTACAGGTACAATGCTCGAGTCAGAGTTAGCAATTATATGGTTGAGGAATAGTTTGAGACACTGCTCCAGATGAAATCCTATCCCTCACCCCAATCACAACGCACACACACTACTGAATGTTAAACCAGCCCAATTTCTATCCCCTATAACTAGTAGGTTGTTACTCATGCAAATTCGAATACATTACCTGAAGGTTAGTCGTCAGCTCATTCACTTGAATTACGATTATTTAGCCTTGTTATTATTTTAAGATTTAAACAAATCACTTACAATACGTTGACATTCTTTAGTTTTGTTGTCAGTGAATGTACACCAGGTTGAGCATTGGTCACTACAACATTTAGCGAGTAGATCATTCCATGAACTAATAAAGCGCGAATTGTGAATAAAACAAAAAGATCACACACTGTTATAAATTAAACAATTTAAGAAATTTCGAACAAAATTAAATAGAATGATATATTTATTGATTGGTAATCAGCGTATAACACATGCTGTTAGTGTGGATGCTGACTGAACCCTATCAAATCGAGTTGGCGGTGTCGCGTTTTTAAGTCAGGTGAATTGACGTCGCACTTCACCCCTGAATTAATGTTAGGTGGTTGGAGGCAATTGGCAAGTAGCCTTGTCTCAACTACGTATCGTGTTCCCTGACACTCTTCAGTCAGGCATATCTGCAACCTTCAAGAACTATTGTACCCCCCACCCACCAAGATTAGAATACGCGTTACTCACGAGTGTCAACAATCTTGGAGCCTAGATTATGGCCTCCTTGCTGATTACCTCCTATCATCTAACACCATTGCACGGTGCACCAGTATGGTGAGTCACCAAATTTGATAACCACATCCAGTCATCACCCCCAACGAGGACTAGACACATGATATTGGCTAATCCCAAGTGTAACCAATCAATGTATCCATTACAGCACTACAAAGGATCTATCATGAGTCTAAATAGCTCACTGATAACTCCTCTGACTGCAGTGCTGACTAACACGAATTTTAATCTAAGGTGGAGGGGGAGGCGGAATCAACTTTTTCGAGTTTGTAGGTACGCCTTGCTGACCTATGGCAACAATATCAAGTCAGAAAATAAATATTTCTGTGAAATCAGATAACTCAATAAAGTACAAAACGCATTTATAAATTACACTGTGGATCATATTTACATAATGTAACACCTAATTATCAGTATAAGTAGTAGGTATGTGGCGTGATACAGATTGATGGAGAGCCTCCAAAACTGAAATCAACATTTTAAGTCAATGTCTGCAGAGGCAGAAGTGTTCACTTCACAGATCAGGATTTAGTTTTCGTTGTAGACATGAAATAACCGTATTGGATAGCTTGTCCAACTCCGGGCTGACTGTCAACCAAACAGAACGGTTGGTTGCTGAACCTCATTGCGACTAAGAATGTATACATGATGTATTTCCCGTCAATAGAAGTCAATTCCAAACTCTCTTATCTCCTACCGTTAGAAGCTCACTCAGGATAGAATTCGTAAGTCATTCGCTTCAAAGTTCATTACCGTGAAACTACGTTGACATAACGGAAAATAGATTGGGAAGTCAGTGACTATAATAGTCAACTTAGTGTTTAGAAGTGATGGAGGGAATCTGAAGTTCTGGTTGATGATAATGTTGCGATTTGTAGATCAGGCTGAGGATATTATTGTGTAGTTGTGTTCTTTGACAGCTGGATGGTTTGTATGACAGACTTTCAACGTCTCCTTCTAGAAGATATCTTCAGCACAGAATTCAATATGAAGTGAATTTATATTAAATTCTCTGTTACTGTGTAGCTAGGTAACTCTGTGTGTTTAATCATCACTGCCAACAGTGACACCGTCATCTATATAACACTGAGGTCCGTGGCGTGTTTCGACATACTGATGATTGTCTTCGAATAAATCGTCTCATCTCAGGACTTGTTCTAAGAAAGTCACCCCAACGGCTTTCATATTATTCACTGTTTTCTAGCCCTGGTACTCGACTAAACTATTCGGAAGGCTGGTCATTCCATGATTTGGTATAACGGGATGAAAAATAGTTGCGTTAGGTTACCATCTACCTGTACATCACGACTCGGTCGGTCGGTTTTCGACATAGAACTTTGCACATATGTGCGGAAGTTCAAGTCGCCACACTCCTCCCATGTAGCACACAAAGCAAGAGAAGAAAGTAGGAGAAATGCATATTAGAGACAGTAAACAGAGGTGTAAAACAAAGGAATAGTAATAATGAAGAACAAAACAGTTTCATTGGAAATTATAAGTCACAAGGAGTGGATGCATCTGCGTTAGCCATTGAGAAAGATCACTTTGAGCCATGTCACCGATTGTTTCCAACCATTGGTTTTTACCGTCCCGAGGACCCCAACCAGGAAGCCTATACCTTCCTACGTGGCTTAGACTAACTGTTGTAGATTTCACTGACTGGTGCCATATTTTCGTTTGACCGCCGCTAGCTCTTTTCCAGCCTGGCCCTGGTTCGAGTCGTCAATCTGTGACTTGAAAAGTTATCAAATATACTTGAGAATCGTAACCATTAGCTGACAAACTGTACTGCCTCTTTTCCATACTTTCTCGAAGCAAAATGAAGTTTTAAACGCTCCTTGAATACTCTTCACAAGTATTCTCATCTCTCTTCATGATGCCGTCTCTCAATAAGTCTACGTCAACAAGAGTAAACAATAGAAAACAAAGTTAAATGAACTTGATCTGGCCAATCAGATAGCTCAGCATTACAAATGGTTCCTAGTCATAATCCGATTTGAAAGTGTCTCCTAGATTTGGTTTTTGACTTCTCTGTAGATAATGTGTTGATAGGGAGGAATAAAACATGCACGTGTGGAGGAATAATAACTCTGGAAAAGTATTGCCGGGCTATTGATGGTTCTACATTCAGATGCAACCACCTTATATAAGGAAGTCTGTATAAGTTGGTAAGTCATACATAACTGGTGATTTTTTAGACACCTTCTTCTCGAAATCAAAGCTCTCCCTTTGTAATATATTGCCTATATGCAACCAGTATCTGCTACAGCTGGAGAAATAGAGAATACATTGGTGTGATATGTCTTTAACCACTTCTATGAAAATCTGGGACCAGGCTTTGCAGCATATTAGAGATATATACCCTATACAATTCATTTTTATTACATATATATCGTAGATACCCTTCTTTGTAAATTAAGTACCACTTTTCACCTAGAAGAATCTGATTGGCTGTTTCAAGGTCGTCTGAAGTTGGTGTCTATACTTTACTGTTGCCTCCTCGTCTTCGCCACGTATTCAGCTCTACTGTTTATGTGTGACATATTATCCCCTAGTGCCCATATGGTATCACGTCTATGTTGAAATAAAACACTGATAGACTCAGACAATAGGATCACAAGCCGTAAAAAGTATCACAAATTTGCAGTGCTCCCCAACGAAATATGTATAAGAAACTCAATGAAGTTAGCCTTCAACACATATGGGCAAAAAGCATCAACAGTTAGCAGAAATTAACGACTTGGTTCACCAATCAAAGAAAGAAATTGATGAATTCACTCAAGACAGAAGATATCCCTGTTATTAAATTCCATTGCCAATTTGTTATAACTGAACTGATCTGAATGAATCCGTTGCTACTTTGTTATGTCTGTGCCTGCTAATTACTATAACGGTAATGAACTCGACTGGTACGCTAATAAGTCCATTTGTCCGTTGTTCCTTCCGATTCACGCAGATATCAAAAGAAAAAGGCTGGCATGTCACCGTAAGACACTGTATTATGTTGTACTACATAGTTCAAGAAACAATACATGATATTTATACATTGTCTTAACTATAATAAAGTCGACCCACAACTGTGGGAATGTATTGCTCTTATTGATTGGAAATGTCTATCCTGATTGGTTGTTGGTCAGACAAAGAAAGATCAAGATGAGACAAAAGAAGATGAATCGGTTACACTCTAAATCACAATATGCGTGAGAAATGATATATTAACATAGTAACTCCATCACTTGATAAATCACACGATTCGTGAGAAAGGATGGTGATATACTATTTTATGTGCTGGGTCCTATCAATATCTTACACTGATATGTGCCAACTAGCAAGGTCCATGAATGCGTGGGTGACAAACTCCTTTAAACCTCTAATAGAAACAACTTGTACAAAGAGTTAAAGTAACAATGGGTATATCATGAACCCTCAAATATTATACTATTACTATTATCACTATTATTTCCTCTTACCTTTCATCGACAAGACCATGATATCTGATAAAATATAAAAGAGAGTTATCATTCAATGTATGGCTTGTCAATCCGTTACCAACTGCAATACCCTGAAATGATACAGAGGAAACAAGAAAGTAAAGCGAACTAAAAGTTAACGACTTCATAATAACATAAAGCTGACTGACTGAATTCCTCTGAAGTGCAGCCGTTTAATTTGACCACACTCCATATGTTATACATAAAGATAGAAAAGTATGTCAAAGGAACTCTAAAGGACTGAAAATATACAGAAAGGGGGAATGATTACATCGAAGGACATGAGAACTTAATTGATCTTGGGGATTACACACACTGAATGCATCTGCACTGCCAGCTCGCAACTGTTTTCAGTCATGCAACCAACGGTCTCCAGTCGTAAGATATTAGCATTTCCAGGACCCCAACCACGCAGTCTACACACCCCTGTGTGGCTGACTCAAATCAACAATCAAAGACTTTATGAATTGATGTCAGTTATTCGTTCGATCACCCGTAACTCTATTATAACTCACTTCTACGCCGGTGATCATTACCCGACAGGGAGGCGACAGCTCTTCATCGGTAACAGATGTCCTAGAAATCTCAACAGATGCAATCTCACAATATCATCATTTGTTTCCAACCCTTTAGGTAAGTGTCAATGGTTCAGTGATATAGTGCTCGGCAACTATGAGTATCGTCCTCCGTTCAACATATCGGCAGATGCAGTCATTAACCTCACCTAGCAAGTTGTAATGTTGGAACGTCAGACGTGAGGTTTGCAGCCCTACACCCCGTAGAAAACAAACATCACATCACTGCTAAGAGAATTACAAAGCTCTAGCCTGAGGTCCTCCCTTTGTTTCACTGGGAATGCAAAGGAATAATGATGAATAATGAAGTTATAGCACCACTATCCAACCTCAGCTATAAAACATACACAAATGACCACTGAAGTTATTTAACAGAAATCTTTACTTCATGAATAAGCATCCTAAAGACATTAATATAAGTGTAAAACTTGGGCACTGCGGTAGTAAGTAATTCCATATTAGTTTGTTTATTAGATGTATCACGCAGTGAAACAGCAATATTATTTACTGGATGACGTTTCAAACAAAATTTATTGTTCATAATCATAACATCAATTATAATCACACGACTTTGAAACTTGAATTTTATAGTTTTCTTTGTCTTCTCCCATTTGTCGTCGTAGGGGTAATAGAATTTTCCAGATATCTGGGTGGACAGGTGCTGAATCATTCCTATTACATGTATTTGCAGTTGATTCGATAAACAAAGCTTCTGTTATCAATCTCTCTCTCCATTCACCCTGTTACATTAGATTTTAAAACTGTCATCCTATCCCATCCTATTGTATGGTTGTGTGTGACTGCATGTAGTGATATAGCTGAACTATTCTCTAGATTTCTTATCTTATTCGGGTCAACCAATCTAGATTTTGCTAAATTTTTATGTTCAGCTAGTCTGACTGCCCCTGTTTGACCTATGTATTTGACCTGACAATCATTGCAGGCAGGGTATTAGATAAACTAAATTGTTTTGTTTTAAAGGCTTCACAGGATCCTCTAACCGACAAAGCTTGTTTCTAATTGAGTTTGTTGGTTTGAATGCCAGCCACTTTTATTCCTGCCTTGTTAAGAATTCTGCATAAGGCTTCCGAGGGTCCTTCTTTGTGTGGAATTACTACTGATGATTTAGATTCCTTATTGTTGGTGTCGTCATTAATATTATTATCATTATCACTATTATCATTATGATTGTTATTATCACCATCGCTACTATCATTATTTATTTTATTTTAACATTTACTTACATATTTCCTGACTAATTTATCCGGGTAAGTATTAAGTTTCAAGGCTTCTTTTATGCGTATCCTAAAGATAACATAATAACAATAAGTGAGGAAGAGGAATAACTGCAGGCAGATGTGTATCTGTTTTATTTTAACCTCGTAAATCTACAGTCTCACAATAATCCCCCTGATTATTGAAAAATAGCACTACTTCCAAGAGACTCATCAAGCTACCTCTATCATAAAACCTATTATCTTCCCCATGATACCAACTAAGAAGATTTAAGTATTGGTTTTTGTGTGGATTTAGTTTGATTGGTTGAAGGATTTCATCATGAGCTGACATCAGTTAGAGAACCATTGGAAAACCTGGGGTTGCTGGACAGCTGTTTCGTCCTAGCTTGGGACTCTTCACAGTACGCACCCACCGCCAGGGTTCTAATCCAGGACCTCTTGGTTACAAGGCGAGGCAGTAACTCATCGAAGAAGACACTGCGAATTGGCCGTGCTATGTCATGAATTGGCAGAAGTTAGAATTCATACATTGGCCACTGGATTGGGTCCCAGTGGCTTAATGGTCTACGAGCTCACCTTGTAACCAGGAGATGCTGGGTTTGAACCCCTGCGGAGGTGCTCACTGACGAAGAGTCCCAAACTGGGACAAAACAGCTGTCCAGTATTCCCAGGTTTTCCTGTGGTTCTCTAATTGATGTCAGCTCACAATGAAATCTTCCAACCAATTAAAAAATTTTAAACTAGAAAATTTTCTAAAACGTTTCATCATCGTCCACCTGTACGTACATACACAAATAAGATTTTAGTAGAATAAGCCTTTAATACTAACACATTTTTGTATTATTGAATTCGTGAATAAAACTGAATTAGATATATGGACGACCAGCTAGCAGACAGACTGAACACAACTACCAGAGGTAAATATCCCATGTAGCAGGCTATGGGCGATACTATTCGCTGTGTGTGAGGGCCGATGATGATAACATCAATCTGAAGTAGGTGGTGGATGTTGAAAGCCTAAGGCAAGAAGCTAAATCTTCAGTCCAACAACCTAAGGACTACACTTCAGTCGCAGAAGTTCAGAGTTCGGATATCGCCCCACTGACTTCAGTGTAGAGGGTGGGGAGGCGCAGAAACAGCTTTATAGTGTCACTGATAACAACCTTTCAAATTGTCATTTATCAGTAGATGGATTAACAAATCAGGCCTATTTCGCTATTACATTTGGGATTGTATAACTTATAATCACTGAAAATATATCAAGTAAAACGTAAACTTTATGACTACTAATCCTTCAGGAAGTACACTTTTTTATTCTTCTTATTCACATTACATCACGTTTAACTAATCTTGAAGGCAAAAACGAATACACTTTTAAGTGTTTAATAGCATACAGTGCCCTATCAGGATGAAGTATCAAAGGTCCGAGAATATCCACCTTCGTCACACAAGTGAGATGAGACTCATTCTACTGTCGATATCTCCAGCCGTATATCTTTTATGTAACAATGTGTTGATTCTGATGACTTGAATTTCAAAGCCATTGTTTTATCCACTGTGAAAGATGGCTGTTTGAATTCAGTTGGCTTGGAGGGATTTTTTAGGCTCCACGGGCTACGAACGAGACACTGCCTATTGTGTGTAAGGATTCATGTTACTTACTATCCACTTACTTCGAGAACTGAAGTAGGTGGAGTGAGATTTGAACCTGCGGTCTCACTGCCTAAAAGCCAGGCAGACAAGCCAATGGACCATATATCCCTACTCACACACGTCTACATAATAGCAATAGAAATATTAATAAGAATAATACAAAGTAAAGATGTATATCTCTTTCTGATTACAAGTCGTTAGCTCATTACATTAATATTTCCCTATAGTGTGTACATATCTCCAAGAATACAAGGAAGTAGCTACCCAGCTCTGAGGGAGGTAATTAGTTATTTCAATCTAGAATACAGGCAGAAATAATACTCACGACAAAACTGAACCAAACTAAAGAATTTCTATAAAATTCACAAATTACACAGTTCACGGTGAAATTTTCTCCATGGTACCCTTTGGATGCCAAAACCACAAAATCACAAAATATTCCATCTGTTTGGTAGAATAAATGCGAATCAAGAAAGCAGCAAGCACAAATGCATCACGAAACGCACTACTCATTGATGTGAAATAAGTAGTTTGATAACATTCACATCCTCAGGAAACTGTGCTAAAATTCAACTGCGAACTGAGCGATTCGCATATTCGGTTCAATGTGTTACTAATTCACCAAAGTAGTTAGCTAGAGTTTGACTGGCCTGAACTGATTCGGCTCTCTGAAATGAGTGAAACAGGGTACACCACTGACAAGTGTGGCCTCAAATGAGCCAAGTGGCTGTCCGGTCTTCAGATCACTTCGATTTGGATAGCTAGCTAGCACTACTGGTTGGTCTGAGAGGTATCTGGGTACTCATATTAGTCAATCAGTAGTATACACTGTCATGTAAAAAAAGGGTTATTTCAAAGTAATAAGAAACGCGAAACTTTGAAAACACAAACACACACCCACATGCACACACAGACCTACCGCAAGTTTAAATCTCGGTGAATCTTTAAGCAGTAATGCCAGTGTAGGCACATAAACACCACCATAACTCTCACCAGTGACATACAGTTTACGACCTTCATATTCTGGAAACTTCTCTAAGAAATGAAGCAGGGCATGGTGATTATTCAATGCCGTCTATAGGGGGGGGGAAGAGAAAAGAAATACAAAGGAGAAGAGAAAATCAAATGAATATAGACTGTCTTAATAATATTCAAACACAGATTTTTCCCTTTTGACTACACAGAAAGTATCTATTGTTTGTGTTTCTGAGTATATAGAGTTGTAATTTGCTGCTTGGTGTACTCAACATCAAATGCATTTGTAATGGAACCGAACTCTGCCTCAGTCACACGTTTTAACTAGCCATCCCCAGGTCATCATAAATTCACATAATAAGTGTGCTTCATTGCACCAATATACGTACAGTTATTATGCAACACCTCATTGTTGTTAAAACATGTCTATATCATACACACCATTGAAATACAGTAATCGGTAAGCAGACAATAACCCACACTCACTGTGTGACAGAGAATAATACTACTCAGTCGTCTGCCAGGCTAAAGTGGGTGAAGCGGGATTCAAATCGGGGACCCATTGGTTGGGAGTTGATTGTATAAGTCAATGAGCCACATGTTTACATCATATACATCGATATGCAACCGATAAACATAAATCAGTAGTACAATAAATGACATCAAGCTAGATACTTATCTTTGAAATCTTTCAAAAGAAATTGCACCCTGACAGAATCAGTAGACAAGTGATCAACGAGTAATTATCAGAAGTACAGATTCCAATTTATCTGTTTCAATTGCCCCTCGTGTTTTCCTCCAGTTTTCAACTAATATAAGTATCACTGTATTCAGTTCGTTTGAATTCAGTCTCTTGGAACAGTATTTTCACTTTCTAAGCTATGAGCTGCGCTTTCTGAAAGAGGACTGGTAATGCAGGCTCCAGAATCCGATAGCATAGAGTGGCATATGAACTAGTATTTGGTAATCGGAGACCATGGGAACACAGCACCAGTGCCTTTTGGATCAGAATTAAAGTCAAATATTCAGGAACGGTCAGTTGAGATAGTCACCTGCTTCGGCCTGGGAGTTCTGGAAGTATCTGAGCCCTAGCACCAGCTATGTGACAATTATGTGTGGTGAATCTCTTGGTGCCCACAATGAACCAAGAGTGCTCGTCCATATGCATATACAGTTATAAGCTGCAGCAGACACAATACTTCCAGGTACTACGTTTTATAACGTTCGCCTTCCTCTCTCATTGGGACTCTGGGAACATAGGTCCTGCAGTCAGGTGAATCAGTTATATTTAATAATTGTCTAAACACACATTTTACAACTACCGTTATATTAGTCATCACAACCATCCAAAATAAACACTAAAAATACATAAAGTCAGCGGGGAAACAGACAATGGTAGTCCTTGAAAACTCTACTCACCTGGTCATCATCAGTGGTAACATTACCATCAAGAGAATAAGAGAATCCTACACCAGCTGGAGACTCCAAGTAAAGCACATTACCGAGCTGAAAAACAACAAATTGTAAAGTAAACACTTTGAAATCAGATGGTGAAGGAGAAGAAGCTGCATTTCCCCAAAATGGAGAATCACAAAGAAATACTCCAGTGGTTCTCTAACTGATGTCAGCTCATGATGAAAAATCTTCCAAACAACCGAACAAAATCCCTACAAAACAATCAAAATGTTAACTAATCCAAGCGAAATCATTCAAAATATATTGGGAATGCATTGAGTAGGAAGTGATAGAACTTCTCAACATTAAAATTACGAGAATTAATAAACGAATAACTCATAAACTTCAGATAAAAATTTATTCGTTCACCTATTCTACAGAAAAAACATCACATAATAGGAGCACGAAACTGTGCACTAAGTCGACGAAGAGTGAGGAGAAGAATGGAAACGAGTAGCTGCATTTGTCACAAATATTCAAAACAGCATCCATTACCTAATTATTTGACCACAGTTATTTGTGTCCCGTTTCTCGTGACAAATGGTATTATATGGTGAGTAATAATGGCGTCAGATGTCGAGTGTTAGTTAGCTAAGAAGCGAAAGTCACTCGATCACCTCATGGAGCTACATCGATTAAGATGGCTAAGACACGTGTTACCCATGCTCAGCCGTCTCCTACGATAGGCAATGTTAGTTGGCGTAGGGTCAGGTCGGAAAGGAGTTACGGGTGACCAAACTGAAACCTCACATTAATCCACGAGGTCCCTGACACTTTGTGTGAACTGGTCCCGTAGAGAAGTGTAGACTCAGTGGCTCGTGTAATCGGGATGCTAAGAACTATAGGTGGTATGGGCTATAACGTCATTGATCCGCAACATCAACAGTCCCAAGGCACTGGTACTTAACATTCCTTAAAAATTAACCAGGTGACCTATACCCAACTGTGTTACTGACACAAACCACACTTCTAAACACTAATTGAGATGACGTCATGTTATGATTTACAAAACAACAAATCTCTTCCAGTCCAATTGTATATCAGCTAGTATTGCTCGACACGGAAGGCAGTGGCATTACACGCACAACATTTACCCTCACCATCTCAATCGATTCACCTTCACAACCTCATCCACTGACTCCTCGCCTAACACATCCCACCTAACTCCAATATTACTCATCATATCATACCAATTAATACGAGAGGCAGAATACTAACAGCCTCTTCATATCGTCCAGACTAAACAGGTGTGTCTCATGACGTACAAAATCGTAGTGTCACTATTCAGAAATCAATGAAACTAAATAAAGATCACTTCACCTTATTCGCCTGCTTACCACCCAACTAAATCTTTCGTATGAGAAAATACATGACTAAGACTACTGACATGACTCCTCATGAAAATAACAAACACCTCAGCTAACGTTCACAAGAAAAGCAATGCAGTAATCAGGTCAACACGACATTACCACAAAATAAAATACATGTGACCTAACAATATATACATATATATGCTGATAAAACTTTAAATATCGAGTAGATGAGTCAAAAGTCATCAAGCAAATGATATTTAGCTTACCTTATTCCAAGAGTATGGATTATTTACAAGACTGGGTCCCTTTGTAAGCTGAAATAGAGATAAATAAAAATAACAGGTGACATTTAACATCACAGATTGAAGTCAAACAATTACAAGCAACACTACTACTAGAAAATTCCCAAGCGAAGCCTTCATTTAACCCAATTGACAATTTGTCAAAGCCAACACAGTATACTAAGCCAACGCCTGGAGATTCCAGTGAGGAAGACGCCACACCATTAAAGGGTTGACATAGTTGACTGTCCGTAGTGTTCCACCATTGTAAGGAGTTTTCCACTTCCATTTCGTTCTGGTCATGAGCACTCTCTCTCCCCTCTCCATTTACTTTCATGAAAAACAATTATAACGATCTATGGGTACTTGATTTGGCTATATAAGCATTCCCATTCCAACTTTTCTCAGGAATAAGATAATATTAACATAACAATGAGGATTGTTATGCCTATCAAGCTTCCTTATACGGATATTCCTCAAATATGGCAGACTACTTAGAACCATGGTAAAGTCAGTAGACAAGTGGGCAAAGCGAATGAAACAAGTAATGAAATTATTAATTAAAGTAGCAATAGGATGGCATCAAAGGATAACACACTGTTGCCAGTCTGCAGTGTACAACTGCTCATTAATAACGAGGAGTAATCAGTAGAGTAGCTAAGATAAAACTAGACTAAGGTTTACCAATAGTTGGTCGGCCGTTTTCCAAGTTATCTGAATGCACAGCCAAGACATCATGTGAACTCTGCTTAGACCTCATGTGGTCATTACACATATAACATCGTTTTGGTCAAACGTATTCCGTGTCAACTCTGGAAAATTATTCCCTATTTATCAGAATATAACTTACCATGTATGGACCGTTTTCCGAAAGCAGGCCTTCTAATGATGAGCACCCAGGGCCACCGTTCAACCATAATATCAGAGGTGCAGACTCTGGTTTCGTCGCAGCTTCAACAAGCCAATAGTGAATTTGGATTTTGTCAGTAACACCATTAAGGTATCCTGAATATTGTGTGAAATTTGGTGGTGGCCATACTCCTGGCAAATATAAGATCTTATCTGAATCTCCTGGTTTTCCTCCCCTAACCACAGATATCCAACAACTACTGAGGGTAAAGAGATATGTCAACACAACCAAGGTCATACGAGCGTTTGACAGTATATTCAAATTGGGCGCAAATTCTTACTAAGTCCTATTGCGAGCCATTCGAAGCAGGTTTGTTGCCTGTGTTAATCATTTTCGTTGCAATTTTGTACTGTGGGACAATTTTGTGTGTTTAAATATTCAGTGAAGGATTGGGCTGTTATTCCGAAGCATAAGTCTACGCTGATAATTTTTGATTATATCATGTGATATCAGCAGCCCAATTTTGCAGGTCAACCATTGATATCAGTTGTGCGTTGGCAGGGGATCGAACCCCAGACCATGTGCATTGTCGGCGGGAGTCCTAACCTCTGTGCCACCGACGCACATCCATTGATATTTTTATCCTCCTTTGAATTATTGTAGACTGGCAGGAACGAAGAAAGCAAACCGAATATTTTATCACCCTTAAGAACTCTGTGTATGTATAGTTTAGTAAGTCTGTGTCTTACAAGCTTATGCATTCATTCCTAATGTAATAAGACACTCATAGAGTGAACCTTATATGTAGTTGTCCTCTAGAGTATTTTCATCATGTTTCACCACAATTCTGTCTCTGTGTTTGCACATGATCATCTGTTTTCATCTTCATCAGAAATATATGTAGACTATTTATCTTCAAACTGATCTCTTGTCTAGCTACTAATAGTCTGCAGCGGCAAATAATTCCCGAAAATTACTAGCCTACGGCATTCATCACTCATCATTGGATGCTGACCATCACTGTGTTAAGTTGACGCGTTAAGCTGAAGGCTCGCGGCCAGGCATCCATGCCATTTGGCACACCGTCATGTTATGTTCGTTCATCCATGCACTATCGCTAGCTAGCACTGTATTACGATTTGATCCCGAAATATGCTTCGTATTTCGGACTATCGACCCGGTATTTAAATTTGCCTTCGATCGGGGCAGAACATGTACTATGGGACTTGTAGGACAGGAATTTGCGTTAGTATACATCGTACTTCGCTTGAGCACCAACATTCCCCCATCGCCTAAAAATCCATTGATGGCTGTCCATTATCTTAAGGCTACTCTCATCTAGGACCGTTCTAGGGCTGATGGAACTTCTAAAACATCCTGGAGGTTGACCAAACTGTCGTAATTCATCTTATCTGGTTACAATCGATGGCAAGCTCACTTTATTACGATCGAGAGTCGGGCGGAGGCTGTCAGTGTTATTAATATTGAGTGAATGTCCAGTGACCTGGTATATTCAATCTGGTTTCGTTTCCCTTGGAGGTCACAATCCCTACTGTAGCCTGATTGCTCGTTGTTCAGCAGGAGGCTAGAGAAATACGGGCAGAAACTTTGAAGCTGCTACATTTGAACGTGTAGACGTTTGAACCCACGACATTTCGAAGCCGTAAATTCTGGTACTGTAACCATTTGTGTTGTATTTATCTTGTCGAGCTGTCTTATTGTCAGTGGCACAATAAATAACCTCCGAATTGACAGTTCGTCTTCCGAAATTACTCAGCTGGCTGCAGTTCGTAATATTCTGATTTGTATCTGTTGGTCTTCTGAAAACAGAGTCAACTTCAGGATCCACGATTTGAGAGCCGTTGAAGATGGTACATTTAAAGTGGTCCGAACTTAACGCTCCCTAACGAATAACACTTCTCAGGAAATCAATTCGAACAGAATTCGACTTACCTGGGGAAAACAGGAAAGACATGGACAGTTAGATTAGAAGTTTGAGTAGCAGTCACACTCAAGTTATCTAACACTGTGTCGGTGAGATAAGATTTGGCTTATCTGTAGTTGATAAACAGCTCTTTAGTGGCCCTTCTAGTATTATACCTGCAAGTTCATGTAGTTAAGGAGTTCAGTTGGAAGAAACATAAAATACCCAACTACGATGAAGACTGCTCCACCAATTTCTTGCGAATTTCCTTGATACCATCTCTGGAGTGCTCTGCATATATGATACACACTTCCCTTGATAAACACTCGCTAGTTCGCAAGTTACAGGTACTCCTTTAGAAGCCAATCATTCACATTTTTCTAGCTCAATAAGCATACAATATGTCACCATTACAGAACCTGGCAGAAAGATTGTATGATGCGCACAGTAATTCAACTCTTTCATAAAAGCTCTAAGCACCTGGATGGCTAGCAAAGCCGCAGTAGGTTCTTATCATGTGATTGAAATATTTGGTGCAACTAGCTGACGAACTTTAAGCACACTAAGTCTAGAAGAATCGACGTTAACGGTGCATCGCGAAAACTGGAAGCACATAAGTTGATTAGTCCGTACACTGGTCTATCCTTAGTAGCCAACACCACCACCTACTACTAAAATAATTACCCAAACTATCGGCCAGCAGTGCATGTTATGTCAGAAAAAGGATTCAGAAAGTTTAGCGGGAAACTTAGCCAAGCACACAAAAGAGCATTCATCATTCAATATCGTTCAATAAATAAGGAGAGCCTTACAAATTACAAAGAAGACATAGTTCCTAGTCGGCTACTCTTCCCACCTTCCGAGCTCCTTAACCACTAACTACATAAGAGTGATAGTAACATTCTGTGTTGTATAGACTCTACAAGCCCTAAGGCTCCATGCATTGAAGTATCTGCACCATTCCAAACCCATTTAGGCCATTAATATTAGTTTTCACATAATATAAAAGTTAGCACAACAGGACTAGTTAGCTAGTTAGTGTACCAAAATAATCATAGTTACTACACAGAATATATACATATATATTAACCACTCCTTGAAGACTCCACTTGCTTTCTTCTGTGTTGCTGCCGTTTGTCTTCTTTTCTCTCTCACCATCTTAGCTTCCATATGACTTTTCAAATGAGAATAAAGAATGTAGATATTTGACCACTCACAATGACAAATGATCTGCAAGCATTATTATTGTTCCCTTGGGTTCCTAGTCGAACATAGGGCTTCAACTGCACGCCTCCACTTGCTTCTGTATTCTGCTGTACTTTTCACCTGCATCCATGTTAATCCATACTGTTTCAGCTCCTCTTCACACGATCTCCTCCATGTCACCCTTGGACGTCCCACTCGCCGCTTCCCTTTCGGGTTCCACTCGAGCGTTGGCCTGACGCGCGATGTCACCCAACGGCCTCCTCAGCGAGTGTCCAATCCATCTCCACTTTCTCCTGCATATTTGTTGAGCGACTGGTTCTTGTTTTGTTTGTTTTGTTCCCATAGTTTCTTGTTGGTGATTCTTTCCGGCCATCTGATCTTCAGTATAGAGCGAAGACAGTTAGTTGTTGATAAAGGTCTGCAACAGGCTATTGGAAATATTCTTTGTGACCCGCCAAGTTTCTGATCCATCCGTATAGAAGAACTGACTGACTTGACGTTTGTATTGAAAATCCGAATTTTGTTGTTGATGTTGAGGAGTGACGAAGATTTCCAGATTGGTTTCAGGTTGATGAATGTGTTTCTCGCCTTCCCGATTCTCGATTTGACATCCTCGTCCGTTTCACCTGCCTGTAGTTGAGACAATGCTCCCTAGATAAGTGAATGAAGTAACCTCTTTCGGATCCCTCCCGTTGATGGTGATTGGCGCAGGATGTTACTGCTGTTGTTGTTGTTGTTGGTTGGTTATTTTCATAGCCTCCATCTTGTCTATGTTCACCTGGAGTCCTGTCTTTGCTGCTTCTTCGAACAGTATGTCGGTTTTTGCTTGTAAGTCTTCGATTTTGTGTGACATCAAACATAAATCATCCACGCGCGAAATCCAGGTCTTCTGGGTTCTTCACGTCAGTCCAGGATATCGCTGTCTTCCTGTTTCCCACTGTCTGACGCATAATTCAGTCCACCACAATTAGGAATATCATTGGTGATAATAAGCACCCTTGTCTGACTCCTGTGTTTACTCCAAAAGCCTCGGTAAGTTTTCCGTTTTGGATCACTTGACATGTGCCGTTGTCGTACAGCTGTTGAATAAGGTTGATGAATATTTGGGGTACGCCATAGTACTCGAGTAGTTTCCAAATTACTTCGCGGTCAACGCTGTCGAAGGCCTTCTCAAAGTCTATAAATTTGAGGTCGGGATTCGATTGCCATTCCATGCTTTGTTCGATGATGATGCACAGAGTTGTTATTTGGTGAGAACATGATTTGCCTTTCCTGAATCCAGCTTGTTCTGGTCGGAGTTCTGTATCCA